AAAAAAAACTTCTTTATTTCTTTGATAAGAGACTTCAACTCTGAAGAAAAATGGACAAATATGGCTTAGTGTATTGGGAAAGGAAATAAATCATTTCCCCTCAATTTTCTGGAAAACACAACTGTATTAGAATTCTTCAGAGAAACAGAGCAAATAGGATAAACAAATACAATATAATAGGTAGGTAGGTAGTAGGTAGGTGGATAGATAAGTAGATAGGTAGATAGGTAGATAGATAGAGATAGATAGAGATTGATAGATGACAGATAGATGACAGATAGATGACAGGTAGATGATAGATAGATAGTAGATAGACAGATGATAGATAATATAGATAGGTACAGATAGATGTCTTATAATGAATTGGCTCATACATTACAGAGAGTGAGCAGTCCCAAGATCTGCAGTCAGCAAGTTGGAGGCGTGGAGACCCAGGAAAGGTGATAGTGTCATTCTAGTCCAAGTCCAAAGGCCTAGAATCAGAAGAGCCAGTGGTTAAGTGCCAGTCTGAAAGTCAGCAGGCTTGAAGACAAAGAGCTAGTATTTCAGTTTGAGTTAAAGGCAGAGAAAGACTGATGTCCCGGCCCAAGGCAGTCAGGAAGGAAGAATTACTTCTTACTCAGGGAGGGTCAGACTTTTTATTCTATTCAGGACTTCAATTAATTGGATGAGAGCAATCTATACTGGAGATCAATCTGCTTTACTCAGTCACTGATTCAAAAGTTCATCCCATCCAAAAACACACTCACAGACACACCCAGAATAATACTTGACCAAGTATCTGGTCATTCCATGGTCATTCCAAGTCAAGTCAACACATAAAATTAATCATTACAACAATATTCCCATAGTGACCAGCACGACTTGTGAAAGATCTTATTGTACCCATCTTTTTTACTTTCTCTGACTGTGTTCCAAAACCTCAACTGCATAGTAAACATTAATTTTGATGGAAAATCAGAAGCCAGAACACATATTACAAGTACCACCAAACCTGGAGACTAGCCTTTGAAAAGGAGAACACTGTTTCCTGTCATATTCATTGTGCTCAACATCCTATGTAATGCCTGGGGATTGGTTACTGATTTCCAAGAATTTATATAACATGAAGCATGAATCATTCTATACAAAGGATTGCTTATCTAAGTATTCTAACTTTGAGTGACAGAATCTTGACGTTGTTCATTTAGGATCCACTCAAGCTAGAAATATACCTATAGCAAAGCACTATCCAGAAGTTTTTGTTTTTGTTTTTTAACTTAGAAATTTTATGGTGTTTGAAAGATTAGTTGAGGATAAAAATTCAATTATGGAATGAGAACTATATCGGTATTTATGTGGTATGGAGGGTCTGCCATAAACTTCCATTTAGGAAAATGTATAAAGCTGGGTATGGCCAAGTTGTTTATCCTCTGGTTCAGAGATCTGCTGAGTCATGAAAACTGAGTCTCAACTGATTAGGTGCCCAGCATTTATTTTACAAACAAATATATTTCAATAGTATTGTTATGGGCATGTACTTCTCCAGTAAACTCTACAATGTGTTTTATTTTAATGCATTAAGAATAGCTCTGTCTCTGTGTGTGTATCTGCATGGTCTGGTTTGGACTATTGGAAAAAGAAAGTGTTTCATTTGTCTTGAAGGGAAGAATACCTTCTTAAGTGGGACCTAAATTGAAATAGATTATATTTCTTTTTCTTTATAGCTGAAATTTTAACTTTATTATTTTTCTATTGTAAAAGTAATGCATATTCTTAATATAGTAAAAGGGAGGAGCACAAAAGGCATAAAGAAGTTAATTTTTTAATTGTCTATAATCCCATCCCAGGGAAAACAATGAACATTTTGGCATATTTCATCTGTCTTTTCCTCTGTGAAATAGATTATATTTCATGTAACAGAAATAAGAAGCAGGTACTTATAATTAATTCCTACTGAAATGAAGCAGCTGAGACAGCACAGAGTCATGGTTGACAGCAGACTCAAGGTCTTATATTCAAATCTTGGCTCAACCACCTACTTGCTGTGTGACCATGGGCAAATTAGTTATTCTCTCTAGGCTTCAGTTTCCACTTTGTACAATGCAAATATTAATAATGCAATAACTTAGCACGTTAATATTTGTAAAACATTTTGAATAATGTATGGCACATAGTTAACAATGCTCAAAAATAAAATTTTTAAAAATATTTTTATGTCCATATTTAGGGTTGCTCACATTCACATTCTCAAAAAGCGTATGACACAGAGTTTCTTACTGAAAAGTTTCTCAATGTTTTCAGGTTGCACTATCCAAATTGTGAATTAGATTTGAGATGATATATCTCTGTTGGGGGAGGGAGG